AGCAATAAAAAAATAGATAAAATAATAATATAAATAAAAATCAATCAAAATTAAAAAAAAAGTATATTAATTTAAAAATTTACTAAAATTAATTGCAAATTATTATTATTAATACATGTATGCCAATATATGCACAAACACAATATAAGAAATAAAAATAGATCAATGAAAAAATTATAAAATAAATAAACATCAATAATATTAAATAAAAAAATAAATACATTAATTAAAAAAATTAAATTAATTACAAATTATTATTATTTTATTATTATTATTATTATAAGTATTACGTATATACCAATATATGCACAAACACTATATAAGAAGAAATAAAAAACAGATAAAAAAATTTTTTTTTTAAATGAAATGAAATTTTAAAAATTTTAAATTAGTGAAAGTTTAAAAGGGAAAAATTGAGTCAATAATAGGGCATTACATAGAACGATCAAAATAATAACTCGAGGGGCGCCAGATCTTTAAAAAAAAAGTTTTTCCGATCCTCTTAACAAGTACCTGATATTTTCAAAGTGAAGATGAGACATTATACCTCTGATCCACTGGAAGGAATATAACTGCACTGGAAGATTTCGCTGATTTTGGAACAAGACCAGACAATAAAACACAGAGTCTGAGGCTATGAAACACATCTGATTCATAATATCTTATGCAACACAGCCTCTCAGGGAAATGAGTCTTGTTTTAAGAGCAAAACTAGGCGAGCATTTTCTCATGCATTAACAGTTGTGTGTTGTTTGGATGTGAGATGAGTCCGTCGCTCAGGAAACACGGGTCACCAAAGCAGGAATTCATTCCTCCGTCTCCAGATTTATGTATCTAATTAACGGCGTCTCACAAAGACCGTTGCTGTACACAAACGCCGTAAGAATGTCTCGCATCGCTCTCATGCTGCTCTTTTACAGCTCAGGACACGAGAGAGTTTTTGGTTCGTTTCTTATGAGAAATGAAAACAGACTCAAGTGAGTCAATAACTGTCATGCATTATGAGTCTAGAGCTATAAAACCAATGCAGAGCAGCTCAGAATTGACTTGAGGAATGTGTGAGTTCACACTGAGATCTCTATCTTGTGACTGCAGACTAGAAAGTACAGATTGAGAAATTGTTGCGATCTCTTCTGAATCTCTGAAGGAGACGCGTGGGGTTTTCTCAGGAGAAACCGCTGAGATGCAGGAGACTTTAATCTTATAATAATATTATTTGGCAGCTGCTTTTATCCAAAGCGACTTACATTGCATTCAGGATTTGCTTTTGATCAGTTCATGCATTCCCTGGGAATCGAACCCATGACCTTAGCGTTGCAAGCATAAAAAAGTCAACATGAAATGCATTTTGCAACCCATTTATTATTATTTAGTGATAAAAGAGAGGATGGGAATTGTAAGAATCTTGAAAGAATGAGTCTTGCAACATTAATATCAATATTAGATGAAAAACTTAAAATTGTTGCATTGGCCACTAACTGAAAAAAACATTTAATTTAAAGTACTAGAATTCTAAAACTGAAATAAAAATACATTCAAGTTAAATAGAACTATTTAAAAAACTAAAAACTAATATAAATAAAAATAATAAAGTAATACAAATAACAAAAAAATATTTAAATGCCAATTCAGAATATTAATAAATACTAATATTTTAGAAATAATACTAAAATAACATTGGTTCTGGTGAATATCTAGTTTACTTGCATCAAACAAAACTCTTGATGATCTTTAAGAGATTTGATGCTGAATATGAAATGGAATGAATATAAAAGTCAATATGAAATGCATTTTGCAACCCGTTTTTCTTCCATAATGAGATGAATTTCTGAGTGAAACAGGAGATTTCTGATAAAACAGAGAATGGCACTTGATCTTGTCCATCGGGAATTGATAGAATCATAAAAAGCAGATGTTAAATGTAAAATGATAAATGTGAGTGAATTTGTTATTTATATTGACTCTAAAAAGATCTCATTTGTGTGTTTTTTTTTAATTAAAAAATTAAATTATTATAGTTTTTAATAATATTTTGAAAATTTATATTTAAAAACTTCACACACAAATCCAAGAACTGCACACACAAAATGCAAAGTGCCTCACGTCTCTTGCAAAATGAAGCACTGCGTTCAAAATATCACAAACGCGTCTCAGAAGCAAACGTTTGTCTTACTTTGCAAACACCTTTGCCATAATATTATATTTTTGGATATATAATATACACACAGTTATTCAAAACCTAAAGCTCTTCTTTCATGAGCTCCTGTGTACTTTTCTGTTCAAGATTGAAAGTAATTGGCAGAGATGTTGAAAAATTCACAGTAAACACGAAAGCAAGATTGAAAGCAAACTGTAAGTATTTGTGGTTGTGAATACAGTATCACACAGTAGGAAAGAGAAGAAACACATCAAGCATGTGTAGTTGTGTAGATGTGTGTTTATTGATTGGTTGGTGTTCAGTAAAGCACATGTGATGAATTACTGAGCATTTTGATTGGTTGTGTTTGAAGAAGAAAATCAGGATACTTCCTGTTAGATTATCGTGTGTTATATTGAGAATTGTGTGTTGTGCTTTGCAAAAAGTGTTTTATGAAATTGAAAACTGAGTCAAAGTCTGAGAATTAGTGTATGGTTTTGCAGATTTGGTGTGTGCTTCTGCTGTTTGAGAGTCAGCTTTCACAAATTGTGTGACAAGTAAAGATTAAAAAAAAAACTGTAATAGTTCAATTTCAGTTTTTATTAATTTCTGGTTAGTAATTTTAGCTCTTCAGCTTAAACTTATTTCAGTTAGTTGTTGAGACGACATTTCTAATCTTCATTTAGTCTTAGTTTTTCATCTAATATTTTAATATATTTTTTAAATCGCACAAAACCCTTTATAAGCTGATGTTCTGAAATGAGCCTGATGCTCTGAGAGCCGCAGCGCTGCTGTTTCTCAGTGTGTTCAGGACAAGCAGCATCATGTCCTGTGTGTGTGTGTGTGTGTGTGTGTGTCTGTGTGTCTGTCTGTGTGTTTGT